AAAGACCTTGAACATAAGCAGATCAATTAACAGGGAAACCATTAACACACAAACACACACAAACACATACATACACACACACACACACACACACACACGTGCACGTATTTTTGGTAAGTGGTTCAAGACGGTAATGAGAATTAGAAGGGCAGAATTTATGGCCTAAACAGTAAAAAATAATGGGCAGAATAGAAAAGCTGGAATCTGCAATAGCAAGTCTCACCAAAGAAAAAAAGAGAACAATAGATTGGGAATGAAAATATATGGAAGTAAAGGATAATCTAGAAGAAAATAAGCAAAAAAAACAATAACATTAAAAGAAAATACACTCACTGTGTAAGCAGAACATAAAAATCTCAGAGACAGGATGCACAGAGACAACCTAATGATCACAGGTCTGCCAGAAGAACAAGACAGGACCAAAAAAACTTAATGCCACAATGCAGGTTACAATATCAAATAATAGAAGAACAGCTGATCAGTGGAAAAGATTACATATGCAACACACAAAAGCAAATAAGCATGGTAACCTCATGTTTGATAAAACCAAAGATCCTAGTTATTGGGGCAAGAATTCACTATTCAACAAAACCTGTTGGAAACACTGTAAAGCAGAATGGCAGAAACTACAATAGCTCAAAGCATATACCAAGAGAAGCTCAAAATGGGTTTATGATTTAGAGATAAATAGTGACATCATAAGCAAACTAGCAGAGTATGAGAGAAATTACCTGACAGAGCATGAATACAGGAAGAGTTCATGACTGAACAAGAGGAAGAAAGGTCCACAAGAGGTAAAACAAATGTTTTACTACATAAAAGTAAAAAGTCAGTGCACAAACAAAACCAACTCAGCTAAAATTAGAAGCTAGAAATGGGGAGGGAATCTGCAGCAAGTTTCTCTTATAAAAATCTCATTTCTAAGATATGTAGGCAACTGAGACAATTTTACAAGAAAAAGGGCCATTCTCCAATTAATAAATGGGTAAAGGATATGAATAAGCATTTTTCAAAGGAAGAAATCCAAGCTATCAATAGCCATATAAAAAAAATGCTCTTACTCACTAATAATTAGAGAAATACAAATAAAAACAACTCTGAGGTACCACCTCATATCCATCATATTGGCAAAGTTAGAAAAAAAGAAAATGACAAATCCTGGAGGGCTGTAGGAAAACAGGTACTTTCATGCACTGTTGGTGAAGCTGTATATACCTTTTGATCTAGTCATGCTGCTATAAATACTCTAAAGAGATCAGAGAAAGAGGAAAAGGACTCATATGTACAAAAATGTTTATAACATTTTTTTTGGTGGTGGCAAAGAACTGGAAACTGATAAGACGCACATCAACTGAGAATGGCTGAACAAGTAATGGTAGATGAATGTGAGAAAATACTATTGTGGTGTAAGAAATGATGAAGGGGATAGTTTCAGAAAAAACCTGGGAAGACTTGTATGAACTGATGCAAAGCGAAATAGGAAGAACCAGAATAACATTTCATACAATAACAACAATACTGAAAGACTGAGTAACTCTGATCAACACAACAACCAATCACAACTCCAAAAGAGTCATGATGAAACATGTTATCTACCTCCAGATAGAGAAGTGTAGGGGCAGCTAGGTGGCGCAGTGAATAGAGCTCTGGCCTTGGAGTTAGGAGGACCTGAGTTCAAATCCAGCCTCAGACACTTAACACTTACGAGCTGTGTGACTCTGGGCAAGTCACTTAACCCTGATCGCCTCACCATAAAGCCAAAAAACAAAACAAAACAGACAGAGAAGTGTACTAGAGTACAGACTGAATCATATTTTCTTTTCCTTCCTTTTTGACATAGCTAATTGCAGGAATTTGTTTTGTATGACTACATAAACTTGTAATGGATTTTGTTTTTCTTACCTTCTCAATAAGTGGAGAAAAGGAAGGAGGGAGGGGGAATATAGGGAAATAAAAATAAAGTAAAAATGAATTTTTTAATAAGAAGGTAAGCTCCATGAAAATAGGATTAATTTCATTATTTTTATTTGTATCCCCAGCACCAACCATAGTGCCTAGAATGTAGCAGGCACTTAATAAATGCTTATTGTTGTTATTATACTATTCCATAAAAACTGTTCCTGGCCTATAATGCAATATGGAATTTTGGTAATGCAATATGGTAAAACTAACCTATCAAATATATCCCTATCCTGAACCATGTGGCACCAAATGAGTGCTTAATAAATGTTTGCTGATTAATTGATTGTCCCTTCCCTCAATGCTTCCCCAAAAGCTATGGAGTTCTTCTGACTATGCATTAGAATATAGTCAAAGAGGATGTTCCTTAGACATAGAGGCCTATTTTTCTATATAATGAATTCCTACATTGTTGGAGATGGAGTTTCTTCTCTCAACCCTCATAACTATCTCTATTCTGCACTGTTAGATCTACTGCATACTTCCTGATCACCAGTTCTAGTTTCTATTGTCATTCACTCTCTATTTCATAGTCTCCTTTTTAACCTGCATTTTCCTCCAACGTTATCAGCTATGGAGCTAACAGAGTTTGTCCTTTAGAGCCAAATCCAGTCGACAGAGGATATAGTCTAAAATTCCATGTTTCTATGATTTCTTTTCTGGTCCTTTTTCATTTCCATTTTTCACCGCTAGCTTTCCCTTATATGTTGTGATTATTAAACTGTCAGCTTCTTGTAGGCTGGGATCATCTTGCATCTTTGTTTTTGTCATTGCTAGTACTCAGTATACACTCTGACAGACAGCACATAATTGTTATTTCATTAATTCAATTATTATTTAGCTATTTTCACTGATGCTCACACTTGGAAGCCTATTTGTTTGTCTTTTACTTCTGGGTTTGTAACTGTTCCACACAATTGAGAGAACAAGGGAAAGGGGCTGTTTCTACACTTCATGTTCAAAAGTCAATGGGGATTCTAGTATGATAGATTTCCCATAAGTACAGAAGAGGAAATAAAACAATGATATGCTTCTGAAAAATATATGAAAAATGCTAACTCAAAATTATTGCCTTAAAAGAGAATGAAAGAAGTCCAGCTGGCTATCAATATGAAAAAAAACTCTGAGGCTTCATTTCATTCTCATAAAATTGGCAAAAGTCAATAACAATCTGGCTTGAAAGGGCTATGAAAAGATAAGTTTACTACTATACTGTTGGTGGTGCTGTAAACTAGTCCAGCTATTTGGAAAAATAATTTGGAATTATGCTATAAAAGTCACTAAACTATTGAAACTCTGAAAGCCAGTAATACCAGTAGTAGACCACAACCCCAAGAAGGTCAGACGCAGAGGGGAAAATTCCCTTTTATATTAAAATATTTATAGCAGAAATTTTTGTGGTAGGAAAATGCAAAAACAAAAAAAGTATCTACTAGACAGTGGTAAACAAATTTTGATATTTTAATATAATGGAATATCACTGTGCTATAAGAAATGACAAATATGAAGAAATTAGGAAAAACTTGGAGACTTGTATGATAGTATACAAAGATAAACTGATAAAGAGAAAGAGAACCAAGAGAATAACAGACACAATGACCATAAAAATAGAATTCAGATGAATGCAATGATGAATCTTGACTACAACAGATGACAAGTATACCCATACTTCCCTCCTAATGAGAGAGAAGTGTTACACCCCTGTGTAAGAATGAGGAAAAGTCATCAGACGTGGTCAACGTGTCAGTGTGTACTTCTCTGTTACAAGGGATCGGTTTGGGAGTCATGGGATTGGGAAATGACAGCAATATTTAAAAGCAAGAAAATATTTTTAAATCAGCTCTAATTTTTAAAAAGAAAGATCCAGTGTAGACTTAAATAGCCCTTCATGGATTAAGGCACCCATCACGTTCTCCTAAAAAGAAGAGTGTTATCACCTGTAACAAATCACCAAATGTAAGAAAAATAAAAGTTTCAATCTAATAATATGTTCCTGAATATAGAAATATTTTCATGGGTCAAAGCTTTTTTTTTTTATCACTTTATTAGCAGCCTAAAAAAGAATTTGAAATAAAAAGATAATCTCATTCATCACATGTAATAATGACCCAAATTTTTAAGCTTTTTGCTAATGTCTCATCTATAGGAAGTATCTCCAAACAACTTGTAATCATTTCATTCTACCCCACCTACCCCCATAAACAGCCTGCCCCAATCAGGGTTAAGTGCTTTTTTTCACCTGGAGAACCAAGTAAGAGGGAGAGACTGGATTTCTACTTTCATTAGTATGGGTGAGAAAATTCCCTCTAAGGCGCAGATGGCACCTTGTCTGCAACTTACAGCCTTAGAAAGCACTGAGATGTTAAGTGACTTGCCCAGGGCCACATTGTCAATGTGTGTCACAGGCAGGACTTGAGCCTGCCCACCTCTTCTTGGTTTCAGAATAAAGTATAAGAGATTAGAAAAGGTGGAGAGGGCCAGCTTAGAAAAGGCTTTAAAAGACTATCAGAATTTTATATTTGATCCTAGAGGTGATCAGGAGCCACTGGAGTTCACTAAATACTGGAAGTGATATGGTTAGTTGACAGCTGGGTAGAGTGGAGAGAAACTGAGGTAGGGAGACTATGCAGCAATTGTTCAGACATGAGGTGATAAGGGCTCAGGCCAGGGCGCAGGCAGCATCAGAGGAGAGAGGAGCCTAGTGAAAAGATTCTAGAGTGTCATTTCACTTGAATATTTATAAATTCCTATAATACCTAAATGAAAATTCTGAGGAACTAATAGGGGCAAATTCACTAAAAGAGCACACCAAAAAAAACTGGATAGAAATGAACAGTGACTAAAATAAGGCTTTAATTATTTTAGTCATAAAGCCACAGGAACTCCAGAGAATTTGTCTTTTTCAAATTGTGCTAATTTACTGTATTCTGTTACTGTGCAATAAAAAAATTTTTGATGTGTAATTTAGAATTATTGAACTTTGAGTTATCAAAGACTGGTGACTTCAAGTATGAAAAAAAAGTAGTCATTTCAATACATACCAATCACAGGGTTGAAGAGATCGGAAAGCTTGAAGGGAAGCATCCATCCCCGCAAAATCCCAAAATTTAACATCATAATCAAAGCCTCCTGTTACCAAACGGGCACCTGAAGGGTCCAGACCTAAGGCAGAAACCTAGATGGAAGAAAAGCCACACAAAAATAATTAGAGAAAAATTGCTCACAATCTATCCTCATGAGCTATAGCATGTTCCTCAATAAATACATAAATAAACAGATAAATAAAAGAGAATTAATTCCTTTGTTCAACATACATTCAATTATTGCTAAAAGGATCATTTCATTCGTTGGATTTGTATTCCCAGCACATAATGGCATAGCACTTGGCACTTTATAAACAATTGCTGACCGATAGATTAAGGGTCTACAATGGGTGAATGGATATTAAAGAGTATCCAAAAGGTTTGCAAATTATAAATGACCACATGAAAATATGTTCAGTCAGAAAGTTAGAGAAATGTAAGTTAAAACATCTCTTAAGTTTCATCCCACTCCATGAAACTTAGATAAGATTTTTTAAAAAGGTTCAACAGCAGAAATCAATACAATTTAATCAGTAGAAATAACATTCCTCTTTTAAAAGTTTACATGGCTTCTGAATAATCCTTGCCTCACTCTACCCTCTCTCTTACTTCTCCTTTCCCTAAGCCTTTTCCATCTTGCTTCTTCTGTACTCAAGTGTGTGTGTGTGTGTGTATATTCTTTCTTTTGACCAGTTCAGACGAAAGTGAGGTAAAGTATCGTCTTCTCTCCCCAAAATCCACTTCCTCGTTGCACAGACTCCTGCCTGCACAGCCCTTCAATGTGAGATAATTTTTCCCATGCTTCCCTTCCTTCTCTCCTTCCCAGTAAATTCCTCTTCCCTTCCTTTTCCAGTCTTCTTTTAAGACCACCAAAATGTAACAGAATCCTCCCAGGCCTTCTGCATAATTAAATTTTCCCTATGATCCCAGATGATGATAGAATTCTGAAAGGATACATGTACCATTTCCCCACTCTGGAATGTGAACAATTTATACTTGGTTAGTTCCTTATGATTTTCTGCTTAACTTTTTATGCTTCTCTTGACACCTGTATTGGTATATCCAATTTTCTACTCAGCTCTAGTCTTTTGTCAGGAACGCCTGGAAGTTCTCCATTTCATGAAAGGTACATTTTTCCCCTATAGCATTATACTCAATTTTGCTAGGTAAGTTTTTCTTGTTGTAAGCCTAGTTCCTTTGCTTTGGAGAATATCATATCCCAAGCTCACAAACTCTTTATAATAGTGGCTGCTAAAACATGTCTGTTCCTAACTGTGACTACTTACAGGGCAGCAGTTTCCTGATG